AAATACTGGAAGGATTTGGTGGGCACTGACCTTGAGTTTTGGGAGTTTTAGTTTACCTACATCCAGAGAGCATTGTGGACTCAAACAATGATGGTTCTGGGCCAAACTTGGCACGAATTCTCAATATGCCCAAATGTAAACACTGGTGGAGTTTGGGTAAAATAGACCTTGACATTTGGGAGTTGTAGTTGCTGGGATTTATAGTTCACCTACAATCAAAGAGCATTCTGAACCCTACCAACGATTAAATTAGGCCAAACTTCCCACACAGAACCTCCATGACCAACGGAAAATACTGTGCTTTCTGGTGGTCTTTGGTGACCCCTCTGACACCCCCTCGCGACCCCTCCAGGGGTCCCGACCCCCAGGTTGAGAAACACTGCTCTAGAACATGGCCACATAACCCGGAAAAACCTACAACAACCCAATAGAGGCTGGGCTTAGCAGAGTGGGTTAAACCACCAGCTGCAGCAAAAGGTTAGCCATTCAGGCATGTGTCGGGGTGTGCTACCGCCGTCAGCCCCAGCTTCTGCTTACCTAGTCGATCGAAATCTGCAATGTGAGTAGATAAATAGGTACTGCTTTAAGCGGGGAAGTAATAAAAAGCACCCAAAAGGACATGCTAGCAACTCGACTGGGATGGCATCTACAGACAACAAAGCTCCTCTGCATGGAAGATGGAGCAACAGCACCTCCCTGTGGCCAGAGTTGAGCACAGCCTCCCGATGCTGGAAATGGAAAAAGATGGGAAAGACTATACCTCTGTCCTTGTTGATTGTATAATGGCATTGAATGTTTGCCGTATATGTGTTATGTAATCCGCCCTGAATCCCCTCGGGGAGATAGAGCGGAATATAAATAAACTATGTTAATGAACATTTTTAAAAAGGACATAAATAAAAGAGAAAGAAGAGAAAGAAGAAGCTGGATCAGGCCTGGTGTAACTTGGGCCCTCCCTCCAGGTGTTTTGGACTTTAACTTAGGCAGCTGAGGGGGGAAAGGAAAAGGCCTGAAGCTATTGGGAATGGTGGGAGTTGAAGTCCAAAATATCTGGAGGGAGGGAACGCCCAAGTTGCCCCATGCCTGGGCTGGATGATGCCTATTCCCATTGTGGCAGCCGTTAGGAGAAAATAAAATAATAAAGGGAAATCATAATAATTTAGAATAAAATAGAAGATTCCTACCTGCTCCTGAAAAGACCATTTCTGATGAGTTAGTTTGCAAACTTGAAAAACCTACAGGTGATATTGATTGACACTGGACCTTGGGGTCAGGTTGCTCTAGCTGATATTTGTTCTAGCTAATATTTGCTCTATCCGATGGTTACATAGATATGAAGCCAACAAGAGAAGTTTGGCAGGACAAAGAAATCAATAGTATCGATCCAAGACTTGGCACATCTAAGGTCATATGGTGAGAGAGCGCCATCTTCTGACCACTTAATGTAAATAGCAGGCAATTTCAGAAGAATTTCATCTAAGTAAATTCCTTCACGGTTTTCATACTAAGAAATAAGTTATAATGAAGTAATTAAGGCTGGATTGATTAGAGGAGATTGCCTTGATCAAATCTTATGTTATAAGCATATAAAAGTTATAATTTAATTAGAGATTTAAGGAATTGAACATATAAGTGTCATCTTAGGGTAACGGGTGAAGGTTGGGATAAGTTACGTAATCAAGCAGATGTTTGGGGTCACAACATGCCTGCTAAGATCTGATAAAGATGTCCTTGGCAACTATACATGGAAACACCTGTTAATGATTGTATTGTGTAAATGTCAGATCCTTTCTGCGCATGTGTAAAACAAGTAATTTTATGCTATAAAAACTGGAGCAATTGCGACTTCAAAGTGGTGACAGTCATTTGAGCTGGTCACCCTATACTCCGTGGAGATAGAAATAAACGCCTGGAAATCAGACATGCTGTCTCTCCATCTTCTTCCTTCTCCAAAAGCACTCTAATGATCTCGGGTAACGTATATTCCGCAAGACCATACTTTCTAAAGCGACGGGGAAAAGTCCCAAAAGATGCAATCTAAACGAATGGAGAATGGGCCTCGATATCAATAAATGACGTCTCCACGCTTTGATATGGGGGGAAATAAATATCTTACCGATGCAATCTTCCTTGGACCCAGAGCAATGGGTTCAACTTATGTTGTGTTGAGGTCTGAAATGCTGGAGGGCTCGTTCAACTACGAACTCAGCCTGCGCCATTCCCAAGGAAGCTTCCTTTGCATTTCTTGGATCGTTAAAATGACTTGAGATGACGGAATTTGGAGAACGCAAGACACAACAGCAAAAGCAAGTGGAGATGTTCTGTTTGCAGGGCTTCTCTGAGAACATTTGGCCCTTCTGACCGGGAATAATGCCTTGATCTTCAGCAGTGGTGGGATCACCCGACCTACCAGATGTTGCTCCTAAACTCCTCCAAGGCATCCTAGCTTGGATTGTCAAAGGCGAGGAAAGGAGTTGTAGTTCGGCAACATCTGGAAGATGCCACGATTCCTAACCCTCATCACTTAAGACCATATTGGATCTCCTGCGGCGCCACTGGAGATCAAGGTCCCCCACCATTGAAGCATGCTATACGTTTTATCCATGTTCTGTAGGAGACGGATGACAACGTCACTCGTGGTGCTTTTTGGAAAGCCAGTTAAGTTGACTTCAGGACTGGATCACGCAACAAGGTGTGGTTGGGTTTTTAAAGAAAAGGCAGGCCAACTCTCGCTTTCCCCCCAATTGGAGCCCCCCCCGTCCCCGGCCCCACCCCTCCAGTCACTATAGATATCAACATTCAGAGTGTCAGTTTTCGGTCTCTGGGCATCTCTCACTCAGTGCGTCTTCTGCGAGAGCTTAATGGTGATGGTCTTCACTTCGGTGTATTCACTCAGAGCGTATTCGCCGCTGGAAGCAGAAGAAGAAGAGGGGAGGCGTTTTGAGATTCAATTCTTCCTGTGCACCTCTTTGTTCATTTGTCCCACCTTAAACCCAATCACAACCCCTCCTGAAAATGTTTTATTACCGAGATCGGATATGTTGATGTATATCAGGCATGGGCAAACTTGGGCCCTCCCTCCGGGTATTTTGGACTTCTCCAACTCCCACAATTCCTTACAGCTGGTTAGGAACTATGCCCGTGATGGTGAACCTATGACACGTGTATCAGCACTGACACACATGGCTATTTTTGATGACATGCGGCCAATGTTGATGTATATCAGGCATGGGCAAACTTGGGCCCTCCCTCCAGATGTTTTGGACTTCTCCAACTCCCACAATTCCTTACAGCTGGTTAGGAACTATGCCCGTGATGGTGAACCTATGACACGTGTATCAGCACTGACACACATGGCTATTTTTGATGACACGCGGCCAATGTTGATGTATATCAGGCATGGGCAAACTTGGGCCCTCCCTCCAGATGTTTTGGACTTCTCCAACTCCCACAATTCCTTACAGCTGGTTAGGAACTATGCCCGTGATGGTGAACCTATGACACGTGTATCAGCACTGACACACATGGCTATTTTTGATGACACGCGGCCAATGTTGATGTATATCAGGCATGGGCAAACTTGGGCCCTCCCTCCAGATGTTTTGGACTTCTCCAACTCCCACAATTCCTTACAGCTGGTTAGGAACTTCCTTAAATTTGTAAAAGGCCCTACAAATTTAACATCTGCACGTTTGAGCATTGTTCACTCCATAACTCAGCATGGAATATACATTTTTCTTATTTAAACTATAAATATTGCAAAATTATGTTTTTTTTTTCTCGAAGTTGACACCCCACCCAAGTTATGCTCAGGTTTTTGGCAAATTTTGACACACCAAGCTCAAAAGGTTGCCCATCACTGAACTATGCTATCTGGAGGTTGGGAACTGATAAGATATGCTATAAATCATGAGAACATGAGGCCATCCTTTCTCTTTGTCCCAACCTGCCATGACCTGTGAGTAACCTTGTATACATCAAAGCCTAAACGAAGTCATCAATGAGTTGTTGTAGGTTTTTTTTGGCCATGTTCTAGAGGCATTCTCTCCTGACGTTTCGCCTGCATCTATGGCAAGCATCCTCAGAGGTTGTGAGGTCTGTTGGAACTAGGAAAGTGGGTTTATATATCTGTGGAATGACCAGGGTGCGACAAAGAACTCTTGTCTGCTGGAGCTAGGTGTGAATGTTTCAACTGACCACCTTGATTAGCATTTGATGGCCTGGCAATCTTTTGTTGAGAGGTGATTACACGTGCCTGATTGTTTCCCCGAATCACTGGGTGGTTGTAGGTTTTCGGGTTATATGGCCATGTTCTAGAGGCATTTGCTCCTGATGTTTCGCCTGCATCTATGGCAAGCATCCTCAGAGGTAGTGAGGATGCTCACCTCACTACCTCTGAAGATGCTTGTCATAAATGCAAACGAAAAGTCAGAAGAAAATGCCTCTAGAACATGGCCATATAACCCAGAAAAGCCTACAACAACCCAGTGATTAGAGTCTGCCGTATACCATGCAGCTGTGGACAAGTCTACAGAGGGACCACCAAACGCAGCATTGCCCAAACACGAATCAAGGAACATGAAAGGCACTGCAGACTACTTCAACCAGAGAAGTCAGCCATAGCAGAGCACCTGATGAACCAACCTGGACAACAGCATATTATTTGAGAACACAGAAATGCTGGACCACTCCAACAACCACCATGTCAGACTACACAGAGAAGCCATTGAAATCCACAAGCATGGACAATGTCAACAGAAAGGAGGAAACCATGAAAATGAACAAAATCTGGCTACCAGTATTAAAAAACTCTAAAATTACAACAGCAAAACACCAGAGAGGAAACAACCAGGCACATCTTAACACCTCTCAACAAAAGATTTTCCCAGGCTTCAAATGCTAATCAAGGTGGTCAGTGAAACATTCACACCTAGCTCCAGCACACAAAGTCCTTTGTCCCACCCTGGTCTCCACAGATATATAAACCCATTTTCCTACTTCCAACACACCTCACTACCTCTGAGGATGCTTGCCATAGATGCAGGTGAAACGTCAGGAGAAAATGCCTCTAGAACATGGCCATATAGTCCGGAAAACCTACAACAACCCAAAGAGAAAAGTGTTGGATTTGGTCCATGTTAGATAGTGTTCCCATAGACATCTTCTTCCCCCCAGAAACGGAAAGGAAGCCACTTACAGTTCTCGGCCATTACCCGACATTTTGAAACCACCAAATGGAGCTTGTGCAAAGAGGGAATTGTAACAGTTAATCCTGTGGAGGAAACAAAACAGACTTAAATCAAGAAATAGTTTTCTAAGATCTACAGAGACACTCGCTGGAACACTCGCTTTGACCTACAAAACCCTATACGGTTCCGGCCCAGTGTATCTGTCCGAACGCATCTCCTTCTACGTCCCACCTTGGAGCTTAAGATCTTCTGGGGAGGCCCTGCTCGGCCCCACCTCTATCACAAGTGAGATTGGTGGGGACGAGGAGCAGGGCCTTCTCGGTGGTGGCCCCTCGCCTGTGGAATTCGCTTCCCGGGGAAATTAGGTCATCGACATCCCTCCTCTCTTTTAGAAGGAAACTAAAAACATGGATATGGGACCAGGCCTTTGGGTAATCTGGCAGACAGACAAAGGAAAATGACGACTAGAATTGGATAGGATTATGACAATGCGGAATGAACTTACGGATTTTGAGCTTGGTGAACGTTGATCACTAGATTGGTTTTTATTAGTTGTACTGTATAACTGGATTGTTTTAATTGTTTTATCATTGTTGCTGCTATGTATTTTATATTGCTGGCATCGAATTGTGCCTTTTGTAAGCCGCCCTGAGTCCCCCCTCGGAGGTTGAGAAGGGCGGGGTAGAAACGCTCGAAATAATAATAATAATAAAATAACACCTCAGCAAGCGAGAGTCCAAAAGTGGCAGGCTCAAACCCAGAACCTCAACCAATGGCTGATACCAAATGAGAGACTCCCCCCTGGGCACACAGAAGACTGGGCGACTTGGAAGGCGCTGAACAGACTGCGCTCTGGCACCACGAGATGCAGAAATGGGGCCACAAAGTGGAATCCACGACATGCGAGTGTGGAGAAGAGCAAACCACTGACAACCTGCTGCAATGCACCCTGAGCCCATGCATAGTGGAGGACCTCCTTGCGGCAACACCAGAGGCACTCCAAGTGGCCAGATACTGGTCAAAGGACATTTAATCAACTACCAAGCTTGCAAATTTTGTGTTTTGTCTGTTCTGTTCTGTAAGAAATGTAATACAATTGTCTCGTTGCCCCTGACACGATAGATAAATAAATAAGCAAAACAGTGAGTTAATATCAGAGTTATTATTTTCTTGCACCATTGGCATTCCAATGCATGTATATGCTCCAACGAATGGCGCCCCATTTCTCACTGAATTGGGAAATCATCTGCAAATTGGAGGCACATCTTAGAGTATCTAAACAGCCTTGGCAGAGAAGGCAGGAGCAAAGTTAGGCTGTGAGAAACAAGCCGAGCAAAGGAAAAAGCCTCTTACCAGACAGTTCCAGACTGCAATGCGGATGCTAATGCCAGTGCTGTATCCAAGCTCTTGGTAAAGACGGCTGCCGTGAGCCCGTACTCTGTGCTGTTGGCTCTCTGGATGACTTCCTCCATACTTTTAAACTTCATGATGGGCTGCACAGGCCCAAATATCTGTTGGGTCAAAAACACTGGGATTTGATTCAAGAATAAGGGACGGTTGGCATACTCGCCGATTCTAGCCTCCATGGTTGGTTGCGTCCGTGTCAGTGGAGAGCAAATCCGCTCCAGGATTTAGAACAGATAGAATCATAGAATCATAGAATCCTAGAGTTGGAAGAGACCTCATGGGCCATCCAGTCCAACCCCCTGCCAAGAAGCAGGAATATTGCATTAAATCACCCCTGACAGAAGGCCATCCAGCCTCTGTTTAAAAGCTTCCAAAGAAGGAGCCTCCACCACACTCCGGGGCAGAGAGTTCCACTGCTGAACGGCTCTCACAGTCAGGAAGTTCTTCCTCATGTTCAGATGGAATCTCCTTTCTCATAGTTTGAAGCCATTGTTCCACTCCTAGTCTCCAAGGCAGCAGAAAACAAGCTTGCTCCCTCCTCCCTGTGGCTTCCTCTCACATATTTATACATGGCTATCATATCCCCTTCTCAGCCTTCTCTTCTTCAGGCTAAACATGCCCAGCTCCTTAAGCCACTCCTCATAGGGCTTGTTCTCCAGACCCTTGATCATTTTAGTCGCCCTCCTCTGGACACATTCCAGCTTGTCAATATCTCTCTTCAATTGTGGTGCCCAGAACTGGACACAATATTCCAGATGTGGTCTAACCAAAGCAGAATAGAGGGGTAGCATTACTTCCCTAGATCTAGACACTATGCTCCTATTGATGCAGGCCAAAATCCCATTGGCTTTTTTTACTGCCACATCACATTGTTGGTGCAAGCTTTAGAAGGAACTGCTTATTATTATATTTATCTATACCCTGCTTTATCTCCCCCAAAGGGGACTCAA